TTCACCTTAATTGCTATGCGTTGGCTCATATTCAACTAGACATACACTGCAACCCCACAGCCTTTTCACCAAAGTTGCTGCTCAGCCAGTCCCTCTCCAGTCTACAGTGGCACATAGCAAAACTTTAGTCCAGAGGCAGAACTTCATATTTCCTTTTCAACTTTCACAGGTTAAACCCATGACACAGTTCTCAAGCTTACCAGAGTCCTTCCGGACTTAAGATCTGCACTCTGACAAGAGGGTAGGGATTTTGTCCCTACACACCAAATTGTGCTTTTACACTTTCGTTGTCTTTTGTATGCTCCCTTTTTGTACTGTAGTTCATTGAGAAGTTTCCTGCTTGGCCAAGCAGGCCTCTTGCTACTGTGGAATGGTTCATTCCTGAGCCATCTTTAAGTTTTCTTTAAAAATCTTCAAGCTATCCTGTGCAGTTTTCCTCTTTGTGGTTGTTACACAAAGGATTGTACCTACCAATCTCCTGAGTAAGTGAAAACCCGCAGTCCATAAATCAAAGGATCCTAACTCTGCTGCTTACCTTTCCAGCCTTCCTCCAGATCTGCAACTCAATCATGTTCTGGTCACTGAAATCCAGCCTCCCACCTATGACCAAATTGGTCACAATTCTTTCCTACTTGAAAGCAGCAGATGAAGTGAAGAGTTAACCCTGACCAGTCTCTCCGGCATCTGTGTTACAAAATTTCCACCAATTTCCACAGCTCACAAAGTACCAAGAGTGCATATACAATGCCAGATTGCTCTCCTAGCTGATGTCTGCATGGCTGAAATCCCCCATGAGCATGAAAGCCCATGAGTGGGAGGTTTCTCATAGCTGTCTGTATAAAGCCATATCAACTAGCTACTCTCAGTCACAGGGTAATAGATGCCCACCTCATCGCCAATGTTCCCTTTCAAATCTTCTGTAGCCAGTGCTACTTATGCGAAGAATTAGCTCAGAGTGTTTTAAAACTGTATGAAGATTCCTGAAGTACAGTTTACTCAGTGCAAAAAAACCCAGACTATCAATGTATTCTAAACAGAGCTTAGGTAACAAATACATTAGTATAATTTCAACAATGTATTTAAACTAAAAAGAATCTACAACTGAAAATCAACATGATTGTTTTTAAAACTTCCCATTTACAGAAAAGCTACCCAAAACTGACAAAACAGTTTTTAAATTCACTGTGGCATTTCTTACTATCCTGAGTTCCTGAGTTTGCCAAACGGGTACAACTTCAACTTTATGCATTAAAATGGGCAGGACTTGCAGAACACACCAACATGTATCAGGCCTGTAACAGTTGTTTAACAAGAAAAATTAAATTTTGAACAACTACTAAATAATAAAACTCAGAAACAATATACTAACATCGACTCGTGGAACAACAGTGAAACCCTACCAAACACTGTACAACTGACCTGCCTGACAGCTCATCCGTTTGTTCCAGCTATATCTGCACACCTAATAAAATACACTATTTTTCTACCACCAGTCTTTTCTCTCTTAAATGTTAGAATAATTTGAACATAAGTTGGCATAACTCTGCCAACTTTCAGACAACTGGCTTTGAAAATTCCCCTCTCCATTTGCTGCCTTCTCAGTTGCGCTGACGCAACAGCTGTTCATAAGGTCTCACTGTAAATCAGATCCCTGGAATCATTTCAGTCACCACAATGCAGCCCCCGTACAACTCCCTGTACAACTACAGCAGCAACGAACAATTACAGGAATGTTATGAGAGGGAAGAAAGAATGAAGTTTCTTAAATAAGTTTTGCCAGTACCACACTCCCAGCTGCCAACATGTGAACTTCAACAAAGATAATGACACAGGTAAAGCTAGAAAAGGAAATGTGCTGGAAAGCACTTACACCCACCATCCACCAGTTCCTTAGTCTTTACACAGTGATAGAACAAGAAAAAAAACCCACACATGGTCCAATTCATCGTCTTCTTTCAGATTATCTATCAATTTTTACCACAGTCACTTAGATCCAGTACACCAATGATTAACATTTTAGGATTCTGAAGTCTGACACAGTTTTCAGAAGTGACTGTGTTATTCTCAGCACATACTCCCACACGTATTACTGAGATCTTTTGGGTTTTAAGCACAGGTTTGACTATGAACTGCAATTGACCAGGTTTTGGAAAGCACAGTAAGAGAACCTAAACAGGTAGAGCTGCAGAAAACAGTAAATGTACCTACTATATATACAGTATATAGTATAAGTTACTAACTGTACATTGAGCAGCAAAGCACATGAGAGACCTTCCTTTGCCTCTACTATTTGACTGGCAATGATTTATATTTTTCCAGCTCTTCAGTTTACATCAAATTCACCATTTGTTCCCACAAACCCCTTAAAGCACCTCTGAATCTGTGTATTCTGTCAGGATTTTTTAAAATATTCATATTATGTATAGATTAAAATAATTAAATAACAATGAACTGAGTTATGTACAACTTCACTTTGTTAAGCTCATGTGGATTTAAAATAATTCATCACAAGTAACTCTGCAGTCTTGATTCTTTTCAGTCTTTTAGAAGGAAACATGAAACCTGCATTAGAACTGATTTTGGCAGTCAGCCTTCTACATTTGCTACTATAAATTGTTTCCCTCATTAAATAAGTTGTGCAAACCCAAACTCTTCCTAAATATTCCCATTACCCTTTAGTCACGAAGTCTCTTTCACTTTAAGACTTCTCTTAAGCTTTACCATTAGACAGGTCTAGCAATTCCTCCATGGCCCCCACTGAACCAGCAAGCCATATTCACTTTACAAAGCCAGCGCCGAAAAGCTAAGCATGGCTTCTTCACATATAGCAGGAGAAAATTCAGCAACAGTTTCTCTCTTAGACTTAAAAGGTACCAGGACAGACAGTAAATTCAATTTGGGAGGAATGTCAGATCCAAGTTACTGGGTACACAACAATTTGCTGTTGACTCTTGAACAGGTTCCAGCCTTTTCAGAAACATTTTGCTTATTTGTGGAAGAGACATGCAACCTCAACACTGCTTACAACAAGACTTTTAATTACAGCAGCTGCATAGAAAGTGCAAAAACATGGTACAAAAAATTTCAGATCACCTCTTTGCAACTTCAGTGTCCTCAAAGGAATGCTAGGGTCTGCAAGAGGACATGCAAACATTTTAAAAATTAATAAAAAAAAGAAAGAACACAAAACAAGAAAAAAACCCAGTATTTTTACTATCAGGGTCCCAAATTCACAGAAACACAGGAAGCACTATAAAGAATGAGATGTCTCAGGTGTCAGGGGGGCAAATATCCCTAATATTATCTCTTAGCCTGCCTTTAATAAGCTACAAGGTTGTCTAGAGCTTTGAGACTTAAATCTTTCTACCAAAACTCTTATCATCATTGATTGTAACTGGGAGTACTCCTATTATTCATATACATATAAAGTATATTCATGAATATTGCTGAGTTAAACTCAATTACATGCCACAGCACATTTAAAATTATGAAGTATTTTCAGTAATGTTGCATTTGTTACTTTTCATGCTAAATTTCTTGTTCTTAAGGTTACTCATCCCAACAAAGGGCTGAAAAGTGCTGAGCAACCTTCTTCAGGTGTTTGTTTCACTCATTAACTTATTCCCTTTCACTTGTTTGATGCTAAATAATCCTATGTTTTTTAGTCCTTTTCACAATTAAAATATTTTCTGTTCAAAAATTCTTGAAGGAATTTTATGGTTATCAATTCCTCAAAGACTTTCCTCTCGAGTAACTTTTGAGAAACTAAACAAAGAAATGAACAGGTCAACTAATAAACATTTAAAAATAATAAAATGGAGATATATGGGATTAAAGGGGTGTAATTAAAAGTGTTAGCAATACAAGTCTGTATTTAGGAGCTTTGTTGCTTTTGGCATTCATCCTAAAAAGTGTCAGCTACCACAGGCACGGGCCACCCTTTCCAAACACCATTTCTACTCTGCACAGGCCTGTCACCTGTCTCAAAGGTCACCAGAGGATATTCCAGGGCAGTTCAGGTCATCCTTCATGGCATCTGCAAGCCCAAGGTCATTACCTTACCCTGCAGGCACGCTCAGACACGCACCAGCCTCGGCAGCCCCTGACACAAACACTGAGGCTCTGCCTCAGCGCAGGGACGAAGCCACGTGGTGCAGAGACAGAAAGTATGGTAAGATGTAACATGCTCTACAGAGAAGAGCTGTTATCATAGGTACAGGCTGCGGGGCTGTTCCTTGCTTCACTGTGGATGAAACACTGGGACGAGACACTACGACGAGCCACATTAAGCACCCCTGCAAGCCTGTGACTGCCCTTTACACTCATGCCACAGAATCACAGAATCAACCAGGCTGGAAAAGACCTTTGAGATCATCAAGTCCAACCTATGGCCGAACACCATCACGTCATCCAGACCATGGCACTGAATGTCACGTCCAGTCTTTTCTTAAACACCTGCGGGGACGGTGACTCCACCACCTCCCTGGGCAGCCCACTCCAATATCTAATCACCCCTTCTGTGAAGAATTTCCTCCCTATGTCCAACCTAAACCTCCCCTGGCGCAGCTTGAGGCGATGCCCTCTTGTGCTGTCACTTGCTGCCTAGGAGAAGAGACCGACCCCCATCTGACTACAACCTCCTTTCAGGCAGCACTCCTTTCAGAGTGATAAGGTCACCCCTGAACCTCCTTCTCTCCAGGCTAAACACCACCAGCTCCCTCAGCCGCTCCTCACAGGACTCGTGCTCCTTCATCAGCTCGGCCGCCCCTCTCCGGACCCGCCACACCCACGAGCTGCGGCACAGGGGCGGCAGCGCAGTCCGGACAAACCCGAGTCCACAGGGAGGTACCTCCTGCCGGCCTCCCCCGAGCCTGGCAGCGAGCAGAGCGCGGCTGCGAGAGACCCCACGGCGGTGCCAGCGCTGGGCGCTGTGGCCGGGGCAGAAGCAGCGCGGGAAGCTGCAGGGACCGGGCCAGGGGGGGCCCGGGGTGGTTGGTTACCTGAGCTATGCAGCGCCCTGACCTCGGGGCGGCTGCACCGCGCCGCGGCCGCGCCGCCGCCCAGCACCTGCCGTAGGAGCAGGCGGACTCTGCGCGCGGCGGGACCGCCGGCCCCGGCGCCCAGGCACAGCACCCGAGACTGCATGGAGACCGCGGGGAGGCACGGAGAGCCGCGGAGAGCCGCGGGCACACGGACCGCCGCCGCGGCCCAGCCGAGCCCGGGGAACGGAAAGTGCCGCCGCTCAAAGTCCCGCCGGAAACCAGCGCCGGGCGGGCACGGGCCGGTGCTGCTGCGCTGCCGGGGCGTGGGATAGCGGGAATAGCGGGGATACCGGGAGTGACTCCCGCGACCCCAGCTGCGCCCCAGCGGTGCGGGGACCCGGCCAGAGAGGGCGGCGATGGCCCTAGACCCCGGTGTGTTCAGTCGGGAGGGTTGGGGCGTCAGCTACGCGGACGGCTCGTTTTCTTTCTATAAGAGACGCTGAACTACATAGGTGGAAACGCTTAAAACAGCCTGGAAAGCGAGGCGTGGGCAGAGGTGGCTGATGTAGATGCCTGCGCCAAAGGTATTTCCTACCTTTGATTTCTTATATCCCGCTGCGCTCGTAGGCCCATGTGCCCCAGTGCCTCCCCTCGCCTCTGCTCTCGGTATTCAGTCATTTTGTACTTCCAGAGGAATTTGAACCAACTCACTTCGGAGTGACTTTTGCCACATGCATGGCGTAGATGTGAGGTTTTTGTGAAAGGTGATGTTACAAAAATAGATTTCAAAACTGACTTGTTTCAGCCAAAGGTAGTGCTCCTGGATCTATGTAAAAGCTCGGTACTAAATTTTAGAATAATTTGTGAAAGACTGAAGCTTTCACGATAAAGAGCTAAGCCTAGTTTCAAGAAAAATCCAGTTGAGACTTGAATCTCAGCACCAGTAAAAGGATGATGAGAGAGCATTGCAGAGATAGAACCCAGAGTCAAGCCACTGTCTTTAACGCCTGTACTTCAGTTTTCAGATATCTCAGTGTCCACATGGCTGTGAGAATTTTGCTCCAGTAAATCTCCCATTTGTGTTTTCAACATTGAACAATTATCCCAAAGGGCGGTCATTACAGTGTGAGCTAAGCATCTGTTTAAACATAGACAACTTAGGCTTCTAAGCCCCCATAAGGTATTATGAATGTTGATCTAGACCTACATGCATTTCTGCACCTCAGTGTCAGGTGCTTTAAACACTTATGAGAGGTGAAATTTCACAATCTTCAGCATTTCCTGTTGGCTAGAGTGTTAGTTGAGTATAATTTCTATTCTTAGTACCTAATATAGGTCTATGAACCTGCGTTCTTGGTCTAAGGCAGGATAAACTAAATTAAAACATCCTTTTATGGATATTGCCCTGATTTCTTGTAAGATGAAGATTGCAAATGCTGGAGGCTAAAGATAGGCTAAGTAACAAGAAGGTCTGCTGGAACAAAGTAAAACGCCAGTGAGGCAAAATAACAATGGAATAATTTATGAATGTATCTTAGCACTCTGGGATATTAAATTAGAAAACTACATTGATCCTCTCTGTCATATCTATACAAAAAATAATAAATAGTAATAATCACTTGCTTATCTGTCTATTTAAAACCATCACCTGAATGCTGAATAGGTTTTATGCTATGCTGAAAATAATGAGGCATTTCAAAGTTTTGTATACATTCACGGTAATTTCCCACTGTGAACATCCTTTTGCCTCTGTGTGTGTGTATATATACACCTGTCAAGCAAAATGTTTTAAGTTTCAGCCCTTTCTGAGTCATTTGTTTATAAAATTTTTTGCTTTTTAGAGCATTGCCTTAAAATTCTGAATTAGTCAACTTTTCCAAAACTTCAAATTCAGCCTTGACTTCATCCTCCAACTTTCCACTCGCAGCAACAGAAAACTATATTTACTGATTGTCAAACTGTTTCTGTGAAACATAGTGGAAACATTGTTATCTCTGTGCATAATTATGGGTAGGATAGTTTTCTTGCATGTATACATGTATGCACGTGTACACAAACAGTTGCACAACTTGAATGTTGCATTGTTTTTAGGCCATACTGTCAGACCTGTCACCACTCAAGATTTAATACAATAGTGTGAATGTGTAGAATCTACCTTTTTTGTGTATATACATGTGAAATTTTATCTGACTATACAATATTACATTGTTGCTTAAACATGACATCTGCTTCGTTTGCTAATCATATATGCTTTACATATCTGGTACTTGCTCAATCCTCTCTATGGAAAACATGATTCCGTCAGTGGTTCAGTGCTGTCATGAAGTGGAAGGATTTAGCAGTCTGCATCTGCTGTGTTTGTGAAGGCTTTCACAGATGATTTACAGCATTGGTAACAAACAGCAATTTCGTATTTTCATTCCCTGGCTTAACAGCACTCTTATTTGGAATGTCAAGTTTCTTAACAAAAATACTTTTCCTTTGATTAAACAGAAAAGAACTTACTCTGAAAAGTGAGAGCTCTAAAAGGATCCCTCTGAGTTGACAGTTTCCAGACTGTTCTCTCTAGTAGCTGTCAACTACTTTGCTGTGTAGCTCTAGCTGCAAGACTAAATTAGACACAGGTGCAGACTGTAAAGAACAATGCATCATCTCTGCCTAGTTGTATTCAGTTCTCCTACACAAGAACAGAGAAGACTGCTGAGATGAAATCCTGGCTTCATCTTTGTAGGAAATCTCCCACTAAATGCAGTGAGGCCTGAATTTTACCCAAAATGGTCTGGCTGAACTACAGTAATAGGAGTAAGTCAGTCTTCATTTACTGTTAAATCTTGGTCTAGAGGCTAGGTCTAACATTAATCTCCTTTGAAGATATGTCCAGAGAATGTGAAGAGACAAAAAAGAAGTCTCTCAGAATTCATACCATTCCCTAGTGGTGTGGGTTCCATCTGGCAATACTAACAGAGAAAGTCAAGCCATTGAGGCAGGCCTTGCTGATGAATACTTTTCCTGAGATCGAGAGGTTACTTTTGCAGTTTTTTGGGGGTTTTTTGTTTGTTTGTTTGTTTTTGTAAGGCAAAATTAGTTTCCTTGGCTTAAAACTTATAGTCGTTTTCCCAAATTATCTGTAGCCACCGATGTCTTGCTTTAAGTACTGGATATAGAGAGAGTCTGGCTTGTTTTCTTCTGTTGTGTGTGAGTTTTGAACAAATATAAGTACTGATTTCCATGGAGCCACTCTAATTCACTATAATGAGCCTTTATAATACCAAAAGGTGCTTCTCTTGTATGAAATTGATTGCGAACAATATAAATCAAATAAAAGTGGAAATGCACAGCTGTTCCTTTGTTGACCTGAATCCTAAATTTGTCCCCTAGTTTAATCCAAGTTGATATTAAAAAAATGGATTCACCAATAAGATACCAAGGTTCTAATGTAAACTGTCTTATCTCGTGGTTCTTGCTAAACTGACTTTCGTTCATAATGTCTTTCTTTGTATCTAATGGTTATTAGAATATCTACCTCTTCCCGCTGCACTTTTATAAAACAGCAAGAGTTACTGCTAGATTTTCTTCTACAAATGGCATTTGTAATAGATTTGCCACCCCAGAATGTATAATTACTGCCTTTTTAGTTAAGGATTGAAAGGTCTTTCCTCTCTGTTTGAATGACACTTCCTTCTAGAAATTAACTCCATTACCTTTCTTCTGTTCACACCCCTCTGCCTCTGTGTTTTTCTGTGCTGTTTGCACTGTTAGGCTGAACTAAAACAGCAAGTAAGGATAAAGTAATTATTGATTTTTGTGAGAAATAATGACATTGAGGTAAGGAAGGTTGTGTAATCTGATTGCTTAGATGAAGGTTGACCTAACAGCCTCCGGCCACTTGGAAATTCATTTCTTGAAGATCATTATTGCAGCCATAAAACCTGTATTTTTATTATTTTTTCTCAAAGAACATAAAAGGTAAGAGAAACAAGTACTCTGCTGAGTGGTACTTCACATTCACATTTGAATATGTGTTACAGTATAAATGCTCAGAGAGTATAAGGCCATAAGTGATGGCATCTGCAATTTCTTATGGCAAACTCCATCTGTTTTCGGTAGTCTGTAACTCTGCCATTCTTTAATGATTTGGGCAGAAATTTCTTATGCTGAATTTCTGCCGCAGGCAGAAGACTTCTTTTGAAAACTTGAACAAAAATAGCTTAGCCACTTTTCAAAAAAGAAAAGAGAATGTTTTACTCAGGAGCAGCTATAACCAATACATGACTTGGAATGCTACACAACTGAGCAGCCACATCATGAGGGAAATGCTCACTACTTTCCCTGGTGTTATTGGAGAGCAGAGGGGAGACCCGAGAAGACTAAAACCTCTGCCCTGCGTGAGAAATCTGCATATGGTTTTACCCACATGAAAACAGTTCTTAAACTAGGAACCTCACCATTCCTGTGCTTTAGATTGAGGAGCAGAGTTCTACTAAGAGAGTCATTCTGGTTTCAGAAAGATGATTTTTGATGATCCCATTTTTAAATTTTTATTTTCTTTTAATCACAAGCTTCTGAAAAGTGAGGAAATGTACAATAGTTTAACAGCTAAGTCAACATATTCTGTTTATATGAAGGATGGCCTACAATAAGACTACATTGGTTGAGCCAGACTTCCCCCTTTTCTTTCTCCTTCATGGCCAGAGAGCACTACAGACAAAGACACTCTGATGTGCTTTCAGTGCTCCTTCTTCCTTCTTTCCTCAGGCTGAAGAAGCAGAGGGATTAGGAGCCAAGCCCAAAGGGACAGTTAGAAAATGGTGAATTAAGCAGAAGGAACCCAAAGAGGCAGGGTGAAAGCACTAGATGGATGTTGGGTGAGAGTAAAAATTATATGAACTAAAGTAATGAAGGATTAGGTTAAGATACAGGCTGAAAGCAACCGTGACCACAATGTTTTGCAAGTCCTGAGCATCACTGGAACCCCTCATATTCTTCTGCTGACAGAAATAGTTGTGAAATCCACTGAAAATATACTGACCTGGTTCACTCATGCTGTTTAACTGAGTGGTAGGGGCATCTCTGCGGTCCTATTGATGCATAATGTGGACTCTGAGGCAGGAGGGTTGTTTTTATTTGATTTCTGTAATTGTTATTTCTTTTAACTCTAGAAAAATAAAAAATGCTACA